AGTCTGTCTAGGACCAGGCCATTCATGTACTACAAGTAAGTCCTTTTTCCCTCATCAGAGTACATCACAGACCTTATATTATATGCCATTTCTTACAGGCCATGCTGGACATTTCAGCTGACCAAGGCTGGTTAGTGACATCCCTGCGTATCACCATCCTTATCCAGATGGTCATCCAAGGACGATGGTCAACAGACAATGCTCTCCTGACCTTACCACACATGACACCCTACCACCTCAACTGTCTCAGGTAAATAAAGATAGCTTTGTCTCAACAACTTCATCTGTCTCAAGTAAACTACTGTAACTGCTTGATCTGTCGTAGGTAAACCAAACACATGTATCATACCCCAATTACATATCTGTTGCAGGTTAACACAAGCAGCATATCTCAAGTATTGAATTAGATTGAGCATTTTTGAAATGATAAGATCGTAGGATGTATTGATGAGCCCCGAGCATGACTTTGTTTATAGTTGGCTAGTTAATGCTTGGCAAATCTAATGACTGCCAGACAATTATAACTGTCCAAACTATTGACCGGCTGAGCTTTTAATGTTTTCCTTTTACCTCTGTGTACTTTAACATATTTAAAGAAAGTAAGTTTAAACATCATGTGGTAGAACTTCAGGTAAATGTTCAGGCACATGTATCTATGAGAATCAAGGGAGATAATTTGAATGATGATATCATTATTCCAAACAGGCCTAAAGGTGGAGAGGGTGCCAAAAGGAAGGGCACAGCCCTGCCAAGGGGCCCAATCAGATCCCTCCCGGAGCTTTTAGCTGCATGTGATGGGCGATACGAGACACTTCTTACAATGTTGGATGGAGAGATGGACAGAATGCAAATTGACCAGGTCAGTGTTTTATCATAGCATCCCCTCTGGGGATAATATATGGGTGGCTCCTGTCAGATGGTATAAGGGAAGCTCCTGTGAGCTGGTATAAGGGAAGGTCCTGGGAGAGAATATAAGGGAAGCTCCTGTGAGATAATATAAGGAAAACTCCTGTGAGCTGGTATAAGGGAAGCTCCTGTGAGCTGGTATAAGGGAAGGTCCTGGGAGAGAATATAAGGGAAGCTCCTGTGAGCTGGTATAAGGGAAGCTCCTGTGAGCTGGTATAAGGGAAGGTCCTGGGAGAGAATATAAGGGAAGCTCCTGTGAGTTGGTATAAGGAAAGCTTCTGTGAGATGATATATCTTATCTAGAAGTATTTGTTATGACACTTTGTCGTAACAATTGGGTCATGTGATGATGCATAATTATCAGCAGTACCATATAACCAGTTATTTTCAGTGATCATGAAAACTTAATCCATGAAATAATGAGAGTGTATTTTATGTCCTTTCACATCCAGATCACAAAATTTATTTACTAAGATATTATCTGGTCCTTTGAAAAGAAAATCATGAAAAAATATTGACATCACCAGCTATACTTTATACATTTTGAAGTTTGAATCTTTCAGATGTCTGGTACTTTCTAATACTTTGTCTCAATGAACTCCTGATTTTGATTGCGTTTCTTTTGTGTTGACAGATTTACACTGTGATAGGAAAGTTACCTCAGATCCAAGTGAACCTTTCCATAAAGGGATGGTGGGAAGGAGGTGAAGGGCAGAAGGATATTCGAATCCAGAACTCTACAGATGGTAATGGTCATTTTCACTGTTGATTGATATGTGTATTGTCTTTGATGTTTTTAGTTGTTTTCTGAATACCGTTTTACCTTCTTATAACATAAAAAACATTTTGTGGGTGTTTTTAAATATTTACAAATAAGTAAAGCTATTGTGCTAATTCAGAAGTTGACTTAGATGTAACATACAGGAATAACTTGTTAGCATTAATTGTTGCATTGTCTTTGGGAAGATTTAGAATCCTTTAAGATTCCTTCGGCCTAAAACTACTTGTAATTATAGACATGTCACTCTGCAGTCTAAAGGTCAATAGCAATTATTGCTTTCAAAGATACTACTGCTGTACATAGTCCACACATTATTGCTTACTTCCCTTGAGCAAAATAAAATCCTCCCACATTATTTTTTCCTGAGAGTACATGCTGTTGAGTGCTTTTTTTCTTTGGAAGGGCTTCCTTGGAAGACTACCTTGGAGGGCTTTCTTGGAAGGCTTCCAAAGTCTTAGATTAACGGTCATTGTGAAGGTCAACTATATATTTCACATCCAACAATTGAAAATGCAAGATACCTGTCAATTTCTAATTTACTGATTTCATTTTTTTTAAAGCATGCCAAGCTTTTTGTACATTAAGATGAATATTAAGTGTATTATTATGATCAATCTATCTCTTCGTGTTATAAGAAGTATGGCAATGAATGACAATTTTGTGTATAATGTTTGGTGATTGACAGGTGGGCGTCGCCCAGACAGCGACTGGATCCAGGTGCATGCTGACCAAGAGTATGTGATACATGTTGACCTTGTCAGGGTTAACAAGACCAAAGTAAGTACTGATGATAAACAGACTTATACATACACTCTCTTCTTATTGTTGACTTATACAGAAATTCTGTTTTATAATCTTTCCTTTTGGTTAAATTTAGTGTTTTTGGGTGATTAATTGTATATAGTCTTATCATTATGTGACACCAAAATTTCCACTTGTTTTGACAACATGACATATGTAACAATGTTGCGCAGTAATAAAGGAGCTTGCTACTGTCAAGGATTAGAGCAAGCATATTGACTTATTTTTTCAAATAAATGAAATTTTCCATCATTAAAAAATGAAAACATATATGAAATTTCACTTTTTTTTTTAAGTTTTCCTATTTAATTTTGATATGATTTTTTTTCAGCGAAATGATAGTAAGGCCCAGACACCACGGTTTCCCAAACCTAAGGATGAGGGCTGGTTCCTGGTGATCGGGGAGATAGAGAATAGAGAAGTCATCGCACTTAAAAGGACAGGATATGTTCGTGGACGTTCTCGTCAACAGTTGGCAGTGTACACTCCAGAGACAACAGGACGTGTGATCTATACATTGTACCTAATGAGTGACTCCTATCTTGGTCTGGACCAGCAGTACGATATCTGTTTAGATGTGATACCTGCTAGTATAGAGTCACAGGTCAACACAGAGCTGGTCGGTGAACTAAATGACTTGGACATGGATGGGGGTGAATGATCCTATATGTATGGGTATTTCTGGTGGTTATCTTTAAAGTGTTAGTGACTATACCACATCAGGTGGTCAAAAATAAACCACACAATACCTGGATATTGAAAATGATGAGTGGATATTTGTATCTATAATTATTGGGAGGTATTTATCAATGGTATGGCTGAAGTGAAATCAAAATGTCACACCTGGAATTTGTAGTAATGTACATAGCCCATCACAGAATGATACTGTTGGTATGAGTACAAATCAGTAGTGTCTATTTTTCTCTTTGGTGTATGAAACTTTGACCTTATGACCTTTTGTACAAGTGATATTTTTAGGTTTTGTTTGATTTTACTAGAAATGTGTAAAGTGATCAGACTGATTTGGTTGTGTGATTTGTTTGTTGATAGTTTATTGAACATAGTTTAGTGTCTAAAAGAAATAGATGCAGATACTGACTGTTAAACATTTAAGCTTTGGTGTAAATTGAGTGTACCTGCCTTAAGCTTTGGTGTAAATTGAGTGTACCTGCCTTAACCTTTAGTGTAAATTGAGTGTACCTGCATTAAGCTTTGGTGTAAATTGAGTGTACCTGCCTTAAGCTTTGGTGTAAATTGAGTGTACCTGCCTTAAGCTTTGGTGTAAATTAAGTGTACCTGCCTTAAGCTTTGGTGTAAATTGAGTGTACCTGCCTTAAGCTTTGGTGTAAATTGAGTGTACCTGCCTTAAGCTTTTGTGTAAATTGACTGTACCTCACTTAAGCTTTTGTGTAAATTAAATGTACCTCACTTTAGCTTTTGTGTAAATTAAGTGTACCTCACTTAAGCTTTTGTGTAAATTGACTGTACCTCACTTAAGCTTTGGTGTAAATTAAGTGTACCTCACTTAAGCTTTTGTGTAAATTAAGTGTACCTCACTTAAGCTTTTGTGTAAATTAAGTGTACCTCACTTAAGCTTTTGTGTAAATTGACTGTACCTCACTTAAGCTTTGGTGTAAATTAAGTGTACCTCACTTAAGCTTTTGTGTAAATTAAGTGTACCTCACTTAAGCTTTTGTGTAAATTGACTGTACCTCACTTAAGCTTTGGTGTAAATTAAGTGTACCTCACTTAAGCTTTTGTGTAAATTAAGTGTACCTCACTTAAGCTTTTGTGTAAATTGACTGTACCTCACTTAAGCTTTGGTGTAAATTAAGTGTACCTCACTTAAGCTTTTGTGTAAATTAAGTGTACCTCACTTAAGCTTTTGTGTAAATTGACTGTACCTCACTTAAGCTTTTGTGTAAATTAAGTGTACCTCACTTAAGCTTTTGTGTAAATTGACTGTACCTCACTTAAGCTTTGGTGTAAATTAAGTGTACCTCACTTAAGCTTTTGTGTAAATTAAGTGTACCTCACTTAAGCTTTGGTGTAAATTAAGTGTACCTCACTTAAGCTTTTGTGTAAATTAAGTGTACCTCACTTAAGCTTTTGTGTAAATTGACTGTACCTCACTTAAGCTTTGGTGTAAATTAAGTGTACCTCACTTAAGCTTTTGTGTAAATTAAGTGTACCTCACTTAAGCTTTTGTGTAAATTAAGTGTACCTCACTTAAGCTTTTGTGTAAATTGACTGTACCTCACTTAAGCTTTTGTGTAAATTAAGTGTACCTCACTTAAGCTTTTGTGTAAATTGACTGTACCTCACTTAAGCTTTGGTGTAAATTAAGTGTACCTCACTTAAGCTTTTGTGTAAATTAAGTGTACCTCACTTAAGCTTTTGTGTAAATTGACTGTACCTCACTTAAGCTTTGGTGTAAATTAAGTGTACCTCACTTAAGCTTTTGTGTAAATTAAGTGTACCTCACTTAAGCTTTTGTGTAAATTGACTGTACCTCACTTAAGCTTTTGTGTAAATTAAGTGTACCTCACTTAAGCTTTTGTGTAAATTGACTGTACCTCACTTAAGCTTTGGTGTAAATTAAGTGTACCTCACTTAAGCTTTTGTGTAAATTAAGTGTACCTCACTTAAGCTTTTGTGTAAATTGACTGTACCTCACTTAAGCTTTGGTGTAAATTAAGTGTACCTCACTTAAGCTTTTGTGTAAATTAAGTGTACCTCACTTAAGCTTTTGTGTAAATTAAGTGTACCTCACTTAAGCTTTTGTGTAAATTGACTGTACCTCACTTAAGCTTTTGTGTAAATTAAGTGTACCTCACTTAAGCTTTTGTGTAAATTGACTGTACCTCACTTAAGCTTTGGTGTAAATTAAGTGTACCTCACTTAAGCTTTTGTGTAAATTAAGTGTACCTCACTTAAGCTTTTGTGTAAATTGACTGTACCTCACTTAAGCTTTGGTGTAAATTGACTACTTCACGAACGCTTTGATGTAAATTGAATACTTCACTAATTGGTCTTTGGCTTTTGTGAAAAATGTCTACTTTTACTCCAAATCGCTGAATTCTTTGTATTAGGATCTCTCTTCAATTAAGTTCTGATCAAGTTAGGATAATATCTTTTGTTAGGTTACTACCAATAGGGATTGTGGGTGAAATAGTAAAACTGCTACTTTTTGTGTCAAATTTGATAATATCATCTGTCATTTTATTATCATTGAACTCTTTAAATTGATCTGTGAGGAAGAAATGGATTGTTGATAAACAGATGAGAATAAGTGGTTGCTTCTGTATGTGGTATGAATATGATTTATAAAGACACAGTAATGGTATCTGTTTTGAAATGGTTGATTCTAGTGACAATTTTTACATCATCATATCGCTTATAAATTCCAAAGCATTGAAACATTGTTTTCATCAATGGCATTTGCAGACTGTCCATATATTATGAGTAGTGAACCTGAAATCTGTTTCTGATGTTAATTTTATGAATATGATTAATTCGTTTTTAGGTCACCAGAGTCAAAGACTCATGATGACCTATTACCATGGCTTTAGTCTGTCATTGTGTCAACTTTTCACATATTAACTTGATTACTAGTATCATTACCTGGAGATTTAGTCAAAGGATTTGATGCTCAAAATATAAATTACATCAGGTGATCTTTGATTGTTGTTATGTTAACTGTTATTACGAGCTAGAATTCATGCAATCAGAAAGATTAACAATTTAATACACTTGTGATAAAGAATTTGCTTTGATTTGATAAATAATTGTAAGTCCAGTAAACCTTCAGTCAGTGGGAATTAGTGGATACTTAAAAAACATGACTCTTCAATAAAAGCAATCATTTTATGTAGAGTGATAGTTAAAACCCTTTCTGTTCTTGTTAACCTACAATTTGAATACACTGTTAATTTGTACGTAGGTATCATTGATAGAGACTGTCGTCACATTAATTGCTCCATGTGGTAACTTGATGAGGTGTGGCTGGTTTGTAAATGACCATTGTAAGCAACTCAAACTGCCAAGTATATGCATACTTATTTCACGCACACTCCAGCTGACACAAGTTGAGGCCCTATATCTGATTAGGAAGCGATTGACATGTCGATAACTGACTGTTGACATGTACCCAGGTATATAAAACATCTGTCCACGCCTCACATTTATATGTCCATACTAACTTCCATCTAAATACAAGAAGACATGTCCATTTTTTAACTTTCATGGCTTCTTCATCACAATATCAAACGTAAAGAACAACAAAATGACACATATGATTTCCATTTGATCAACATGCTGTTTTTTCTAAACATATGTTATCATAATCCACCTTTCCTCAATATTCTGCCGTGATATTTCCTGACTGATAGTTTAAGGCTGAGATAGTACATCTTAGGATATCTTGCCATTATATTGGGCAATGTCAACTCAGATTTTTCAAACTCGTTTATTTCCATGATTTGGTTTCATTCAAGGAGGTCCATCTACCGGTATATTTATTTGATTTTGTTGGGACTGACTGGAGGTTTTCTGCGGTAATTCAACTTTAATCATTTATGTTGTCATCATTTAAGAGTTATCACAAATTACTAAGATATGAATTTTTATGGTTGGTACAATAAAATGAGTATGAAAGAAGAGATGTTTATAAAATTGGTAATGACTGTATGTACCTTATATGGTAATAAAATTGCTACCAAATTCTTCAGTCTTTATTAGTGTATATGTTACTTATCTGGACCTTTTGTTGAAATTCTCTGTTTTACTGGTCATTTCAGATTGAAAATTTTCAAAACTACAAGTTTTAATCAATACTATTTATACAGATTATAATGTATGTAGGAATCTTCAACTATATAAGTTAATTTTCACCTGTTCTCCCCTGATTTACTAAAAAGGGTAAAAATGACAGGTTGGCCAAAACTTGAAATTAAAGCTTAAAATCATGTTTTTATGTATTTTAATTGAAACTGAATATTGGGTGGAAATGAAGTTTTATGCCCAGATGAAAAAACCCTGAGTGAATGTATCGCCATATAATATTTGACCTTGGACTGAAGTGTGGTATAACTAGTTAAGGAGAAAAGATTGGTCTATATGAAGAATTCTTAATGCGTCATGATGAAAAGAAGTTTTAAAATGACATGTACAGTAATATTTACTATGGCTTTTCTTTCCACACCTGAAAGTGACTTAGATAATAAAAAAAGAAATAGCAAAAGTGCTGAAAAGGTAAGAAAGTCCAAATGATAGTGAAAATCAAGATATTTCCATTGAATTGACTGAAAGCTGCATTTGGGTAGCCAAGGAAGGCAACATAAGCACAAAAGAGACACTAAAAATGCACTGACTTTCAGAATGACCTCAGAAAAGATGACAAAAGTATGTTAATCGATGTAGAGATAGATTCAGAAGACATGGTCCATGAAGTCTGCTTAATAGGAAAAGCAAACACGTTGATGACCATTTCTCTCCTATATATACCGATACAAAGCTTAAGTTTGAACTCATGGAAAACAGGAGGCAAAGATTGGATCTTGATGGTTTCAACACAAAATTCAGGGATTTGATTCTGAAGAATGCAAGGCCACAGAACTAAAAGAAATTTATTGATTACAAAGACATAGAAGTATTGTACTATCTTGTGCATTCCTGTGACAGGAGGTCAGTACAAAAAGGACTATACCACACTTGTATATTCTGCTTGATTGATTTCAGCAAAGCAGGAAAGTCTTGTTAAGTGGAGAGAGGATCTGTGATTCATTGCCCTCTACTGAGGATGTCAATGCAGATATACAAGTTTTCCATGCCCGCAACAGAGTTTTCAGAATAACTGCAAAGAAACAAGAATGGTATCAAACGTTCTTAAGAAATTATTAGAAATAAAGTAAAGATTGAAATACTGAAACATTAGCAGAGTCTTAATTCAAACTGAAATCCTATGAATCTAGGGCAAAACATAAACAAGAAGGTTTATACAGAGATCCTTAAAAAAGTATAAGGATGATAAGGCCAGGTGTTCTGGAAGGATAAGCATCTTCTGCTTCATTGACAACACTCACCATGTAAAGTTTGGTCAAGTAAATATAGTCTCAATCCGATATGATAACAAAGTTAACAATAATGGAACCACCAGGCATTCTTATGAGCATGAAACATGTTAAACTTCATAATGCCCCAAGAAACAGAACATTTAATAAAATGGTCAACGATATAAGTTCCTCACAATCTTCATCAATTTGCATATCTCAAGACCCTGTAGAATTTATGTCCTTCTAGAAAACCCAATTCAAAACCCCTATTTGGTTAGATCACAGAGTTTGAGAATTGTTGTTTCGTTTATTTGTCATGGCTGTTCTGCAATCTCTCAACAAGATGACAATGTCAACAAGAATGTGTGGTAGTAATTTGTCAATTTGGTTTCTGTTGAATCGCCAACATGTAACACCTCATTTTACAGAGTCATGGTCAATGTAAACTGATGCAAAGTCAATCCTTCAATAACTTACTTGCCAAAGTGTCAGTCAAATTCCAAAGTCTTCCAGGAACCAGATGTGGGAAGCATGCTATCATATTTACTGGAAGTAGGAACCCAACTCAAAATACCCTTGTGAAGGTCTGTTGCGACAACAATCCAGAAGAATACTTGTCATGGTGCTGATGTTAGTCACAAATTAAAGAAACTATCTGACATGTATGTTCTTCAGCGAGAACTAATATATGACTCTACAGATTACTGTGTAATTTCACACTGTATTGCATCCATTACCCAGTAATAAAAACATATCTTCGTGCGAAGACAAAATAAAGTCATATGAAGAAAGAATAATTAATACATATGCAAAGAAGAAAAACAAAATATGTTCCATTTTGAATTTAACTTTTATTTCTAAATAATGATCACTGAAACAAACTAAAACCACCACTGAAATATTTACACATAATAACATTATCATTTCACATCTTTTATATGTCACTTTTCTCTGATCATGTCAATATTTGATTTCCAAATCTGATTGCAATAGTTTTATATCGGTTTTCATTATCAATTATGCCAAAATCAAGGTACAGCATGTTTATAAAGAAAACAATCAACTATGATGATTTTAATATTTTCATCTCTTTATATTTTTTCAATTATTTAATAGTTCAATCCAAAACTGTTTACTGATGACTAATGGACAAAAATCTAAAAATCATTATTGTATCTGTAAATAACATAAAGGTAAACATTTTTATTTTCAAAATAAGCAATTTCCATAAACTCTGATTCATTAATCGATAATTATATACTGGATCATTCTCACTTGTACTAACACAAACAAAAGATGAAGAGAGGATAAAAAAATGGGGTGACAGAGAGTCAGAAATCAGATATCATTTTTTTTATCATTTTTCATGTACATGTATTGAGTATGTTTTAATATAAATTTTTCAAAAATAAAAAAAAAAAAAAAATCGATTTCTAAAGATAACAATAGAGGCTGATAGATCACAATCATATCTCATGTGGAAAGCAGGTGTATCAGGTGATCTTGGTATAATTCAATACATTCCATGTTTTGTTGTTTACTTATATCCACTTGAGATTTAATTTCAACAAGTACTACATTCACAATCTTGGAAAAGTGAAAACAAATAAAAAAGAAGAAAAAAACAATGAATTGAAATTAATAGATACTGAATAACACAAATCATTGGTGATTTTTTTTCAATAAATAACCTTGTAAATAAACACAATGAATTTATATGATAAAATTACAGGTACTTGCTATTGGTTTGCACTACAAAACAACCTGATTTAATCTGATTTAAGTTTAATTTACACCAATCATGAAATTGGTTATTTCATAATTAACAGTACTGGAAATGTTTTATACCTTGAAACCTTGATACTGCTTTCATGGAAAAAAGTTGTCAAACACAATTTGTTTGATAGTAGGATAATAAGTGAAATCCATAATACTACTTTTAACACATCAATGAATTACTCTTGTAATAATTTTCTTCAGGCGTGAGTGTTATACTTTTTTTCTTGCACCATGAATTCATAAAATCAAATCATTGTTTCAGTAGTGAAAAGTGAAATATCAAAACTGAGCTTCACTATCCAAATATGAAAATTAGCTAAAGGACATTTGATCCAATTTCTCATAAATATGGGTTGCATGATTTGAGAAAATTTACATGAATGTAGAATTTCTTGAAATTCTTCATTTGAATCATCTATTATTTTTGCCTTAGATTATTTTTAATGCTTATGTCTTGCAAGCAAGTAGAATTTGGCAACATACCTGTCCTTATTAAACAGTACATGTGTTGCACTGTGTTGAAAATAAAAGTGTTCAAAAACACCAAGAAAATACCAACATAGGAAAATAATTACAAACCAAAATCAAATTTTTAAAAAAACTTGTGCAAAATATGAACTAAAGACAGGGTTGCATGGAGAAAAGTGTCTTCTGGCTCAGTGACGACACCTGCCATGTAAATCTTGGTCAATCTAAGTAAATAATGTCATGTTCTCAAATCAATAATGAAAGCTACAAAATTATAAATAATTTTAACAAAGTTGAACAAACAAGTTATATAGGAATAGGTATCAGTCTAGCTAGACAGGCAATGGTGTCATTTTAAATTTACTGCTAATATCATACTCAAGCAAAATCTAAGTAAAAATTGATAATATTGTTATTGTTCAGTTCTGATGTTGTAAGTGGTTATAACAAAATAGTGAAGTCGAGAACTTGCATTCAAGATAAATAGGAACATGAAAAAATTGTAAAATGTAAACAAGGTTCATAATTCATATCCATTGTACACTGTAACATATGTAAGTAAGTCACATGCACCTCAATTATCTGTGAACTTGTTTTTCAGTGACATACATATCTATATATGTACACAAAAGTAGCCAAAGATATATAAGAATTTAGCATAAACAAAATTCAACATCTTTTACTTAAATTTCTATTGACATTAAGAATTATGATGTGTGCATACACTAATTTGCAACATACACCAGTATACATTTATATTCTAAATTGGTGTTTAAAAGGTTAAGCACACAAATTAATGTAATGTTATCACTACAAATATCAAATTCTATTTATTTGCAATAAAATATAAATACATATTTTGATATTTTTACTTACTCACTTTTGACTCATTAGATCAGTTTTTGCAATGGAAATATCAAATTCTCCCAGAGTGCATGGTAGTACTCTTAAGGAATGATAACTCTTGTAGCAATTGTAAAAATACGTATGTAGCCCTATAAAACTGGAGGGAAGTACTGATCAGGGACAATCATGAGTTGTATTAGCTATTTTTATTTGAAACTACTGATTTGGCAGAGTAGTGATAACAGACCACACAAGCAGAAAAAAACAGGCCCTGATGATCATGATCAAAGAAGTGAGAGAAAAATATGTAATATATCTTTTTTTGTTTTTCTGGTTTTTTTTTTTTTTTTGGCGGGGGGGGGGGGGTGGGGATTATGTTCAAAATGAATGATAGTTATATTTTATCTCTTGGGGTCGAAAATTTCATATTCACCACTCCTGCTATGCACTTGTGAAAAAATATCAAAACTTCCAACCCAATTGATGAAATATAACTGTTATTTATCAAAAAGTCAAAAATATCTTCAATGGTTTAACAATGATATAATGTCAAGCGCTAATAAGGAAAGCGTTGACAAAATCAGTGGTTCCCTACATGAAAGTGACTATATGGGTTTCTATATCTATAAACAGGAACTATCAACAGGATACAATTATAGGTATCTTTTCAAGGAATCATTTCCGATATAGCATCATTAGCAAGAATAATGCACCCGCAACTTTAGACAAAACTTGGGTTGGAACAAGAGTCCGGACGAAGGGAAGTACATGTATATATAGGTGTATGAGGAGGGAACAGTTTATGCAACAGTTTCAATCGGTGCCATTATAAGGATGAGGAGGCAAACTAGCGATGGAAAGTAAAACTATAAATGCACAATTGCATGGTGTTCAATCAGGAGGCCACATGAAAACTATTCGGGAAGAATAAAATTAAAACCATTTATTGATCAAAAAATGGATGTTGAAGCATTATTTTTATCATTGACAATTTTGATAATTAATATGTAATTACGGTATTTTATTTTTAAGCAAATCTTGAAGTAACGTAATATTATCAAATGTTTGGACCTACATTAATATGTACGTTTGTGTTTTAACTTTCATTCTATTTCATCTTGAAACATTACTGGACAAGGTATCGATGGTGAAAGGCATTAACGGCACACACACTTTTGTTACTGTATAATACAAAGGATTGTTTTATCATCAGGCACAATTATTCCATTCCAATTACGACATGGATGGGCACAAAATAAGCATTTGGTAATTTCTTATCACGAATTGAGATTACAAATAAAAGTCCAATTTTCAAAACAGGTTTACTAATGTCTCATTTCTAGGAGACAATGCTGATATAATTAAACTCTTTAAACGACGAAAACGCTATTAACATCAATTTTACTGACAGTGAATGTAAGTATAATGCAATGACAGAGTGATTTTGTTTCCCGCAATGAAAATAATCAATTCATCACGGATAACTTGAAACAAATGAAACCATTTTAAGCAAAACGTACTACGAGTACTTCGATATATGTACACTTCTTCGTGTCCACATCTTACAGCATTCTATTGGAAGTTCTGTGAATATATTAACATCGATCTGTAAAAGAAGATCTCTGCTTCAAGATGTCATATGTCACTTCTTCATCACAAAAGCATTTTCTTGCTGTTTATGCTGAGTTTCTCTTAAACAACGTTTAAATTTGGTCGCTATAAAAGAGTACATAAGCTTTTCTAAATGTCGACTCTTGAAATATCATTCGTTCGCGTACTTCACGGACACTGGAGTCATTACAATAAAACCATCTGTTGGTTTTAGCTTTCCTCACAAATGAGGTGTAGTGCCCGCCATGCATGCTTCCAGAGTGTAAGACGACTCCGTATAGCTGAAACTGCAGCTCTCTCTGAAACAAAACATATATCAAAACACATAAAACAGAGACACGACCAATTATCGAATTTTAATTGTAGCATCATAGAATAAGACATTTACGTGTGTGCCATCACACAACCACAGAACGACTTACCTTGACTTATAACGTATTGAACTAGTGTTCAGCAATACAGTTCTATTACCCGACAGATTATCAACCAATTGTAACTGCTGCTGCACGCGCTCAATGTACGTGATACATTAGTATATTATGGTAATCAAACATTACGCGAGTCATTTAACGTATTATCGTGGTTTTCTAAAGGTTTCTACTAAACAAGACCCACAATACCACTAAGAAAGTACATTTGGCTTGACAGAGGGAATATTTAACTCTTGAAAATAAATGATAACTGAATTTAAAATCATTCTGCTTTATAACTTAAAAGACTGTACATTTATTTTGCACGTGATATGTGTAACTTTTTTGTTTGCTGCTATGTGATATATGGAGACCAGTATAACACATATAATTACCTTGTCTTGGTGATATTGTTTTTCCAAAATCAAAGACTTTCCAAACTCCACTATATGGTCTGTCTTTCTCAGTTCCTTGTATGACCCTGCCATCGGCACCTGAAATAGATGTAATAATTTCATCCTAAAATTGTGCTTGATTTGAATTGTATACAGTTAAAGTACATTGTGAAAGTAAAAGATTCTGATACTTTTTAATTGTTCGGAAACAACTGAAAAATCAGATATTTCAAAATTAGTACAACATTCTGGTGCTTACCATGTCATTTGAGGTAATACAAAATTGACGAGATACGCTCAAAATCTCTCAAAAACCCCACATGTAAAGTGTTATTGTATTTTAACCACTACAATCAAATATAGGTAACATGAAAAGCTTAAACGGCTATCGATCAATCATTTCAGACATTTCATGACACGTAGAAATAAAAAGAAATATAGAACATATTAATTGATTCTGTTAATTTTATTGTGATATTCATAACAAGATCTTATCTCCCACTAGGATTCAGAGTCTTTTTCCTGCTTCACTATTAGTGATTCTATTGTCCCCGAAAGGAATTTATATTCTACAGATCTGAATGAGGACAGTCTTATGTGAATACTTACATGCTATAAACTTTTAATCTTACCTCCTCAAATCGAGCTAGTTGCAGCATCAAAATTTCTGGAGCCTTGACAATTTGAAGAACTTGTGTTGTAACCGCTTAAAAATTAAAATGACTATTAATATTACATTTTCAATATGTATTTCTTACTGTAACTTGTACCAATAAAACAAAAACACTAGGAAAAGAATATATGTCATCAAATATTTGCGCAGATATGTTTCACAAATCTCATTTGAATATATTTTCATAACTTATATTTTTTCCCTCACACTATTATTCCATATTAAGGATCTGTATATTGACAAGAAATGCAAAATATGTACGACTTTGTCAACATATCTTTTGATATATGTTAACTAAATCGTATCTTTCATCATATACACTACTTGTGTTTTCAACAACATATCTTAATCATTGTTTCCTATCTAAAGATAAATAAAGATAATCTCACTGTGTTTGTCAGGAGAAACGTTACACTCTCTACATGGCAAAGTGCTACTTGGGAATTCCTCTCCTTTAAAAAATAGGTGAAGTCCATTTTCCAGTGTTTTCTGCGTATCAAAAAGACACATTATTGCATTATTCAAACTTAAAGGTGCAAAAATAAACAAAATACCAAAAAAACTACTTTCAAACGGTAGCGAAAGTGTGTCGATGAATATATTATAATTTTATGACACATGCATTACTATGATCATCTAATATGGCAAAGTTGAGAAGGACTATAAATGTTGGTACTTACCACATTTTCTTGAACTGGTACCATGATGCTACGAAAGAGTTGATCATCAACGGTTTCTTCCTAGAAAGAAAAGTAAATATCAAACTTCATTATGAAATATTATTGAAATACTAAGATATAATCAGACGAATCTTGAAAACGTTTATGTTGAATAACTTTGGAGGATATAGCATACATGCAACTATCAAATAACGCAGCTTTAAGGTTTTTTACTGCTTCGTCAATAAATTGTTAAAGCAACAAACAATACTGTGCAATTAAATGTCTGAAAAATACAAACATGATCGCATCCCCCGTAGGTGAATTTACTGATGAGGCGGCTTTCAAAAAGGACAACAGGACAATGATCTAAAATACAAAAGAATTTTGTTAGAAGAAAGAGTGTATAAAAAACGAGCATGTAAACAACATCTCATAATAAAAATACAACAACAACAAAAAAGACAAGAAAATACAAACATGTCAACATAATCGTTATCCAAACTCAAACTCAATAAAACTAACACAAAATAAGAACAAAGAAAAGATTTACTTGGAGAAACCTGAAAAAGTACAAGGAGAAAAAGACCAAATGTTGCGGAAGAGTAAGCGTCTTCTGCTTCATGGAAGACGACCGCCATGTAAATCATGGTAAATCCAAGTAAGTAATGTCATGTTCTCAAAAGATATCCAACAGACGAACCAACTAGCATCAAACACGTTCAGCTTGTAATTAGATACAGCCTTTAAAACGAATCCTACAAATGGTCCGTCCTTTTCATCAGTGATGCGTTTTGAAATCTAGTTGGGGACGATCGAGGAAAATATAAAGTGATTGAAATGTCAAAATCTAGATAAGGAGGTCCTTTATTCAAGAATTTAATAATTATTTTATTTTATTATAGGATATTAGAAGAGTTGCTAAAATAAGTTATTACTATTTAAAGCATACATCAACCATAACCAGTCATTTATTTACCTGAAGAAATCCATGGACATCAATGAGATTTCTTTTATGGTATGATTGGTCTGTTTAAACAATGTGCACTTGACTTTGAAACATGCGTTATTCTAAAACGCTTGTAACACATGTAATTTGTAAAATTCAGTTTTAACCAGTTATGTTTTCGTAACTACCTCCTTTCATTTTTTCATTTCCTGATGCACCCAAACCCGACCCCCACACCACTCTCCGATTTCTTCTCTTTCTGCTATGCTGTCAAAATATATGTCAGAGTGCCGTCCTACCACCAGGTTGTGACAATAAGGAGACGATATAAGTATTTATGTACTTGTTTTTCAATCCTTTTTGTTCATCTATGTATCATTTTATAAAATACAGGTTAAACTAAAGCAAACATTTGACTTTTAAAATTAGTGAAAACGTGTTTGCCTGATGTTACAGAAACCAAACGGCTAAAAAGTAAATTACCCTGTTCTTCTTCCATGCGCTTTTTTAAGCCAGTAGCTGCTGTTTTCTTTTCTTCGTTCTATAAAAAGACATTTAACATGAATGGGCAGTCGTTTGTATTATATTATAAGCAAAATGCACTCTTAAAGTGATAAGTATTTCCAAGTCTCATTTAAAATAAACAAAGCATACTAAACTATGGGTATCACGACACCACTCGAGATTAAAAGAATATCAAGTTACCTTCCTACGTTGAGACCTTTCATGGGTTGTCTCGTTTTCCAGAAATGAATTTGCGACATCATCTAAAAATAATAAGGACACACATCGACGTCAATATGATGAAATAAACTAAATTAAACATTTCTTTAACGAAGCCATGAACAATATCACAATGAGTAATCAATACCTGTACACATTTCTTTTTCTGTGTCTTCCATCTTCAAAGCATTCAATAAGGTCATGATGAAGGAATGGCAATCGTTCTCTTCGTATCTTCGAAATGATCGATCACTGAAGGTAACATGTGCTAGAATTATATATCTAAATGCAAAATTCATTATACATATACTAAATAATAAAAGTTTTGTTTGCAATAACTCTTCGACAACTTATATTTTCCTTGTATCAACTAAATGATGATTATGTAAGAACATCCTTAATGCATTTTTATGTATTAAACGGTAATAAATGAATGAGATAAAACAATCATGAGCCGATTATATGTAAATAAGCTTTGTCTTTCATAAGGCATTGCTTTCAAAAATAACCGTTTTTAATTTTTTTGACAAGAACAAGTACAGAAAAAAAACAATTTCATATAAAAGATTGAGTGAAAAGTTTATATATACAGGAAGTTATGTATTTTCTGCTTTGAACAGGTTTTCAGTGGCAGACACTGCTGGTTGACATTTAGTCCCCGATGTTTGCTGTTTTAATTCATTCGAATAATGGCGCGGTTCAGAATATATACATGTATCTGATATATGAAAATCACGACATACATTTAATTATGGGGCTCCTGCATCTCCCCCCTTTTTTTTGTCTTTTCTTTCGATCGCTTTGGATCTTCCCCAGTTGCCTTCTAAGCTTCAAAATTTAGGCCCATATCATCACTAACGAGTCCTAGCAGGACGAAACAGCTGTATGATACAGTTTAATACATTGTTTAGCTCTACTGTATCTAACGAAATTATTAAAAGTTGCTATTCGTTTGTGTGTCTTTGGTACAATTTTCAAGGCATGTTTTGTTTTTTAAAAGAGGAAATCAAAATGTACACCTGACATTTGGATATAAATCAATACAACTTTGTGATGTTATAAATGATGTCATAAACCAAAAGTGCCTGCCTATATTTTACAAAAACAGTCAATGATTATACAGGATATAAAATGAATGAAAAGCTGTGAGATTACCTGTCGCCTACGTGAATTTTCTTGAGGCAATACTCTTAAATCCTCAGACTCGGGTGGTTCTATCCGTACTAATTAAATCGATCATCTTTATTGCTCTATTTAGTTTCATCAGTTGTCTGATATAAGCAAAAAATATAATTGCTTTTAAATTGCTTCTAAACACCAAAAACCAACTCTAGAAGCTAGAGGCTTTGTCATCACACAATGTTTGTAATAAAATGTTCATATACCATTGTTCTGTCAATTCTGTCGATCATCCAGTGGGGTCGAATACGTAAGTTAATGAAGTTATGGAAAATGTATTACTTTAATACTATCTTTCCTATTACTTTGATGAAATAAAGACACTTACATGCGAAAAATTCTGCTCATTAGGAAATCCATCAGGTTCCAGTCGATGCTAAATTGCCTTTCAGCTCCAACGTTTATCTTTTCCAGCAGCTTTTGCAGAACTTTATCCACGCGATTCTACGAAAAGTATATTTCCTCATTTCAACATGCATACTTAATCTCGGGTTAATTACCGATGGATTGATATAAACATCAATATATATGACGTGCTTAACAATTATCGTAATATCTACTCTATTATTTACCTGTGTACTGTGCTGACAATACTTTTCCAACTTTTCCGTAAATCCCGGTGTCTGGCCAAGAACCTAAGAGAAATAGTTCATTAAATCAACAGCTTTTAGATACTTTTGCAGCTACTTTTTACATAAACATCATGTGAAATTACGAAATCTTCAACGAGCTAAAACAGAAATGTAGTAATACTAATATTTTTCCTTGAATGAAATATGTCCAGCTCATTTTATCAGGTCAGTTAACTTTCGTATAGTTTTGAATTACACATTGCATCATTTTGTTTTGTTTGTTTTTTTTTTTTTTTTTACTTATTTCTATTTTATTTCTATTCAATTCCCAAATCATTAATTAATCATTTCAACTAGCAAATCACGTTAAGCCACATGTTTAACCATTTAGCATGTTGTGATTGGCCTACAAGACGTACTTTGACTGGAAGAGTACTTCATATACTCAAAGAAATTACAATACGTAGTTGACGATTGATTTTGTAATCATTTGATTGTTGTTTAGATTTCTGTGTTTTTGCTTTGAGGATAACAAACCAATATGTTTCTAGTTATAATTTGAAATGATGTACAATATTTCTGGATACATAATTTCTAAATATTCTGAAATTGTCATTGTTGCATATTAATTAACAACATTTCACTTTAGTCAATAAGATAACGCGTGGATACAGAAGAGGTCAATGAATCCTCAGAATAGTTTTTATTGTGCTAGAAACAGGACAAACCACTTAACTAAATCGAGAACATCTGCCACTCGTTTTGTAACCTCTATATCTGATGCAGATATGAAGCCACATTTACAAACATATTTTTACATACATGTAATAAAAAAGTGATGATTCTGACAGAGGATAAACTCATAATTTAAGAGTCTTAGCATTGGAGGTCGATAACATAAAAAAGGAGATACATTTTAACGATTATTTTTGGTTGGAACATCAATATAATGTTATTTCCATGGCAATGCTGTGCTTAGCAAAAGACTTACCAAATTTAGTATTGCAAATGTGTCCGACTTAACCATAGTTATAATCAAGATGATTTACCTGTAATATACAGCTTGCATAGCAAGTAAGGCCAACATTAGGAATTCCCTAGAAAAAAATAATAGACATATTCTTCAGATTTTTACAACTTCATTTTCAAGGTCTCCTCCACTAATGAATCATACACACAAGTAGGATATTAATTTAACATATATAAAACGAACTTACCTGAATTCGGTTTGATAATTTAATTTTCAATATAATGGAAGATTATTTGGGTCTTGCAGTAAAGTAGAATAATTACAATGTATTTGTGTGCTTACTTCTAAAATGCTACTGGTTTGAATTTGGAATCAAAAAAGAAAACTGTGAATTTCAGTAATTAATCTAAAGATGTGAAGATTATTGGAATACTTACCATTATTTCTTGTTGAAATGAGGAATGTCCTAAAAAACAACATACATGAGTCAAAAAGCGATATTTACTAATTACTAAATACGTACGGTGAGATGTTAATTCAAAACTCATGACAAATTTTACTACACCATTAGAATTAATTTCAGATTGTATCAAAATATCACACGGTAAATGATAATGTAATAAATACCTTCTACTATTTGTCTATACTCAGGCATGACTGGTCGCTGAAACACGTTGAAAGATTTGAGTTATTGAAGTAATTTTCAGGTGTGAATATAATACAACCATAATGTGATCTACATTATAGATAAGACATAAAACTGCTCAGTAATTTAACTTTTCTGATATGCTTCGAGCAGTTTATATATGGTCATTCAAAATGTCCCCGTGATACCAATTCAGTATTGTTTATATCCAGACAGAACAATTATCTTCATACATGGAAAAAGAGATCATTCTGCTTTCATTGACATCAAAATCTATAAAAATCCGAAAGAATTCTATTCCAGCACTATTATTCCTAGTATTCATTTTCCTTCGATTATTGCAGTTTTTTCTTTCTTTTTCTTTCTGTATCACGACCAGGTTCTAGTTTCTATAAGTAGTTTCTTTCACCAACTTTATGCAGGCTGTAAAACAGATGACACACAGAATGAAACAAAAACATAAATGACTATTTTGATAATTGCATTTCGCATTTCAAGAAAATATCCAAAATGATGTTCTGAATACCAATATGAGCAATCATATACTTACGCAGTTTGCAGCCATGCAATACAAATGATCACCATGTCCTGTCTGTTGAACTGAGGTGCAGACAACGCATAGTCTATGTTTGCATTCAGGAAAAAACCGGCATATTGTTCTTCTTAAAGTCTGGAAGACGGAATTGATATCATATTATTGTTACTGGTACTACCTTTATCTTCCCTTCTATCTTAAGTTTAATTGAGGGCAGTAGAAAATATCGAACAATGAAGCTAAAAACCATATTCCATTTACCATGGATTTCATTTAGATATTGATTCAGCGACAACGGTTTAGAAATGCCATACATGATTTTCAGTAAAATGAGTAATGACGTGTCCTTTTCTAGTGAGAGTTTAAATATACACATTAATTTTACCATGATGAATCTGATGACTTCATCAGCGTGTCTACTGAAAGAGTATATATTTTTTGTCCAAAATAAAAAAAAAATGGTTTTCTTAAAATATTCGTAATATACTGAACAAAATAAGTTAAGGATCATAAACTTGAAACAGTGCAGTTTTACATACAAATAATAATATGATTATATTTTAAATTTTAATGACAGAACATTCATTTTAGTCTTTAATTACACAAAACAAATTCATTTGTGGTAATTGCTACCAAGAGCAGATAACCCTGAATAACAGCACCCTTGAAATCAAAGTGTAAGAGGAAGTAGAGCAAGTTAATCATGTAGACAAGGAAAACTCATCAAACTGCAATTGGCAGTTTAATAGGCAGTATGACCTCCGTTGACATCAATAACTGCCCTGCAACGTCTGCACATGCTTCTTATTAGTCGTCGGTGGCTGATCTGTGGGATGCGCTGCCATTCCTCTTGCAGAGCAATCATAAGCTGTTGGCGGTTCTGTGGCGGATTAGGTCGAGCTGAAACCCGGCGTTGCAAGGTGTCCCAAGCATGCTCGATAGGGTTCAGATCAGGAGAACGACTTGGCCAGTCCATGCGAACGATTGCTTCACGTTGAAGATAGTCGTTGACCACACGAGCACGGTGAGGACGAGCATTATCATCCATCAGAATAAAATCATGGCCAACAACTCCTGCAATGGGCCTTACTATAGGGTGTAGAATCTCGTCCCTGTATCGAACAGCTGTTAAAGATCCATTGTCTATGATGTAGAGGTCTGTATGGAAGTCAACACTGATCCCTGCCCAAACCATCACTGACCCACCACCAAAGCGATCATGCTGGACAACACAGCAGTCTGCATAGCGCTCTCCTTGGGTTCTCCATACCCTCCTCCTACCGTCATGGAAGTCAACACAAAACCTAGACTCATCTGTGAACATAACATTTCTCCAATGACGTAATTGCCAATTCAAATGATGAGTGGCCCATTGATGTCTGGATTGTCGATGACCTCTGGATAAAATTGGTCGGACTGCTGGTCTTCTAGCTCGTAAATTAGAGGCATGGAGTCTGTTTCTGATTGTCTGGGATGAAATCCTTAGATTTGTAGCACGCTGAAACTGAAGATTCATGACAGGAGCACTCAAAAACCGCTGACGTCGTGCCGTGATGCAAATGAATCTGTCCTGTCGGGCTGTCGTACAGCGTGGTCGTCCAGATCTGGGGCGTTGACGGACGTTATTTGTCTGTTGATAGCGATTCATAGCCTACTAATCACGCTCTGAGAAACATGAAGCTGTGCCGCCACATTTCGTTGAGTTTGACCAGCTTGAAGGAGCCCTATAGCTCGCGCGGCTTCAATATCATTTAAATGTCTTCGCATGATTAGTTTTTCAAGTTTTCGTTACAAATTGATTAAATGTTTCCAAATTCAACTTTTTTTAGCTTAGAAGTAACAGAATCAAAACCTGCAAGATTCCTCTGTAGTAATAGACCAGTCAGTTTTTCACACCACCATAGTTAACTAGAGCGGAACGGCAAGACCTTCAGATGCACGTGCTTTCACCTTTGACATGACTTTAGGTACATATTGGAGAAACTACGAGTGCAATTACCGGCAATACATGATTTGAATTTTTAAAGATATTATGGTCACAATTTAAGATCCTTAACTTATTTTGTCCAGTATATAAACCATGAGAATCAATGAGCGAGTAAGAAAATATTATCTCTCAAAACTCTTAAAAATCCTTAAAAATTGAAATCGTGCAATCAACAAAATAATATAGTCAGTGAATGCTGATCACTTATGGATCATGTTTGTTTCTTTACGGAGACTTTAAGAACAGGTTTGCATTTAGTTTTTAAAACGTTGTAATACTTATGCATAATATCAATTGCTTTTCAATCACATCGTTAATTGTGTTACTCTTACAGAAACAGAGCGACATTAGAAAAAAATCATACCTCGTCCGTAGCAATGCAATCCGGGTTATCACATGGTCCCTTAAATGAAAGAAAACAACGTAAGTATCTCATTAAAACTATCGCAAATGGTCTTTCAGAAATATTAAAAAATTAACACTCGGAGTCTATTCGACGACCTTAAAATATTGGCTTCTTTTGTAACCGATTTTTTCCGTTTTCTAGTGTCAAATAGGTGCATAGATGGACTCCATATACTTTTCAAAATGTTGCAAAGTAAGTCGCTATGTAAACTTTTTTAGTTTGACTGACTAGTAGCGAGTTCTCAATAAACTGTAACGAAAATGCAATGCGAGTCAACTAATACGCAAAATATGTGCCGCCAACAGCGACTCGTGCCAGAACGATTTTATTGAAATATAAAGAAAGTATCCAACGGAGAAGACACTACCAACTGAAAATACAAAGTAGTATACAATGACTGTTAAACCCGTTGTAATATGTGTATATGTAAAGACGCATGTATCACTTTCTGAGCAAAACATTTTCAGTAATTACATGTTTCAAGCGATAATCTTCCAGTTCGTGCACAGGGATTGTTTTACTGCAGTAACGTATTCCGCAAATGAGGACTTTGCTCCCATGTTGATCTAGTCGTTCATTCAGGCAATCTAGACACATTCTATGACTGCAGTCTTGAAACTCAACGAATGGCTGAAAAAAAAGTCAAACGCTATACCGTTCCATGCAATACAAAATAAGATATTTTTCTAAGGACCACTAATCTTTTGGAGAGAACGAGAAAAAGTTACAAGAAATTTATCATTTTGAGTGTTTCATGTGAAGTAGTAAATGTAACTTGATTTTCGTCCGTGAGACTGGTATAAAATATTTATTAAGATCAAAAACCACAGATGATGGCATTCTTTAAAAACTCTAAAGATGTTAAGACTTGAGTTTTGGAACCAAAAACACCTTAAAACGATTTATGAATATGGTCTGGCTAATGCTATCCTAGATCTACAGTAAACAACAAAAAGATCTCGAAGAATGGTCGTTGAAAACTTCTAAAATTGTCTGACGCCAGGAAATATTCCTAAATAAAGAAATCGGAGAACATCAGAAAATACATTATATTATCGATGCGTGATTTATGTACTTGTTGCAATGTCCTTCAAAATGAAAGTTACATTTCACGCTAAAATATTTTGAAACTGATTCAGGCCTGATTTGTTTTTTTTTGTTATTTAAGACAGTTTTCAGAAAACCGAAACCGTTGACGATTAGTCTTTGATAACTAAATTGCTGCTCCTTGGGTATACGTGAGAAACGAATAGTTTTTAATTTGTATTGCTTCAACAATTTTACCGTCTTTAAGCAAGTTATCTTGTTTTGACAAATTCTCCCTGTTATTAGCTCTTTCAGGTACTGCTTTCTCTGTAAAAATAAGTAAGAATGAATTAATTAACTAAAATGGAGATTCAAGGGCCTTAACGACAGCATGTAAGCAGTGGTGGAACTGGGACCAATTATTAAAGGTAACAAGAACAACAACACTTCGCGTTTATTTTTTTAATACAAAGTTTCAGCTCAATGGAATTATTGGAACTGGAACAAAGGCCCAAAATGTTGTTTTAGTTGTTTTGTTTTAGAAAAAAATATTTTATTTTCCATTCTGGAATAAGGAAAAATAACACTTATTCAAGACCACTTCAGGATCATTTCAGGCAAGGTTGAACACAATCGGACAGGTGAAATGTGAGAAGACATTATGTGTTATTCATAAAAAAAACATGCTAGCTTAATCATTTTAGAAAAAAAAATATTGGCCGTAAATGTTTACGAAGAAATGTGGTGTCATGGTGTCCATATTGGCTTTTAAGTGACAAAACTTGATCGACGCTATCCTTGGACCATTTCAGTCAAATTTGAACTTGAGAAGTTTAAAATATGTGTTGTTCAGCAAATCCATAATTATATTATCATGTACTGCCATATCTAACTTTCTACCAGGTTGTAAAATAAAAACATTTCGCTGGCTTTCTTCCCTTAATATCAAGTTTCAGCTTATTGGACACCAGTGGAACGACACTTGATATATTCATGTGTAAGAAATTCAAAAATCATCTTATTAGCAAGGTTTCTGTCTTCTCGACCAATTTTAGACATAGATTACACTTTCTGACCTACTAACTTTTGTCAAGTCCTAAATACCCATAGACAAATATTTAATTTTTTTCTGACACAGGCGTGCCTTCAAAAATAACGTCTCAAATAATTCATTGGCGAAAGCATTTTATTATTTCGAGAGTTTAAGTTGTTACATTCCGACTGGCAGGGCATCTTACGGTTTGGTTTTCGTTTTTTGTTTTCTGTAATAACATTATGTTTTTCTTTTTTTCGAAATCATCTTGTAGTCAGCTCATTTGCAAAGTGCAAAAATTGCAATTGATGACAATTAATTGAATTAAAAACTGGCATAGAAAAAAGAAGCGAAAATATATAATTAAAATTGCATGCTTAATTTTTTCAATAAGGACGTTTCCTATCTGGAATAGTTTGGTACCACTAAACTTAAAAAAAAAACATGACTCAACCGTTTTGCGATTCTGATTATCACACGGTTCCTAAAAAAAGAAAACTATAACTTAAAGCGCACAATAAATACCAGTAGCTGATTGCAAAAGGTGTGTGAAGAATATATTATGATCGTCCGAGTTGCTACAATTTTATCATCGCAGAATTTTAGTTACTCATTCATTCAGGCAATTTAAACACATTCTATGACTGCAGTCTTGAAATTCCACGAACGACTGAAGAATTACACAGAAAGCAATGTGGTCCAACGTAAGTCAAACTGGTATTTATAATATGACAGCCCTACAAAAGGGAATAGTGGGTTTAAGTACGTGCCTGCACCAAAACATTACAGGAAATCGATTCCAGAAGTAATCTGCAATAGCTGTTTCATCATTTTAGCTAAATTATTTCCAGCATGTTGGGAGTGCAAATACGTTCAATTGAAAAGAATTAAGTTTATTTTACTTAAGACAATGATAAAGGCATCGCATTTTTAATCAATAAAAACAACACATGAAACATAGCAAAGGAAAAAAATTAGCTGATGTGTTTGACATAGGAAAAAGTAAACTGCATCTCATCGATTCAGGGATGTACTATATAAGTGGTATTTCAGCAATGCCTTATTATCAACACTTTTGTGTTAGTGGTCATGCAAGATGAAATAACTATCCAAAGGCATACACCTTCAGATAACATTCATCGTAAAGTAATTGTTTCCGATCGACATCCAAATGGGTATGTATTACTAGAATGAGGAATGTCTACAACGTAACTCTCTGAGATCTTTAGTAAATACACCAAGTCAAAGATGGCAAAACGTTATCAAAAAGGCAACAATTCATACATTTTTGTATGCCATATTCTATTAAGATAGCGTTGTTAGACTGATAGAACCAAATACAAATCCGTTACCCATACTCTCTTTTATAAGATAATAGTCTGGCAAATACCTTTTGGTGGTTAAAAGGGTAGACATTGGAAAGTAAAGACGTAATGACTGACAATATGGACATGAATGATTGGTGATTGAATATTTTCAGAGATGTGTTTCAAGCACAACAATGAAAAAAATCGACACGCCTTAAATATGACTCAAATTCGAAGAAACATTAATATAAACAAAATAATTATTTACGATGAGACGCTTGAAACAGTACAAGGATAATAATACTATGTGTACCTTAATGGATAGTGTCTCCTGCTACATTGATGGGGAGTCTGAAGATGGTTCTCAGTTCCGTTCAACTAAAACGGAAGAAGGATCTGGTTCCCAGATCCGGTAAGGTTAAACCGAACTAGCAAACAGAAACCGAATTCAGACTCTCTCCATCACACTATCCACCATTTTAACCTTGACCAATCCAAGGAAGTAATGTCAAGTTGTCAAATGAGAACAATGCAAACAACAAAACAATGTACCGATATAGAAATACATGTACATGACAACATGTGACTAATATACCAAAATCTCTCACTATTTGAAGTAAAATACTTGATAGATAGACATGATATTCTTGTTGTTTACGTAGCAGAATTTTTATTCAAGGACGCAATCATCTCTATAAGGTTTGTTTTATCCATAGATTAGATAACAAGAACAGAAATCTAAAGTGACAACCTGAGGGCGAATAAACAATCAATAATCTGATATTGTGAAATGAAAATAGATTACTAAATCCGCCATGACTTTACCTCTCTCAGCAACCGTTGATATTCAAAAAGACACCGATGAAGGAACTGATCTGTTGTTATATACAGTTACCTATGTACTCACAAACTGTTATAGGATTCTTACCGTTGGTGAGTTGGTTTTCTCTGCATTCTTTTGAAGATCTCGTGTTCCACTGTCTGTTGAATTCGAAGTAATGACTGTAAAAATATTAAAGTATAACCACAAAAAATGATAGATAAATATTTGCATGGCGTGATGTTTTACACTTATCTATAATAATTCGCTGAAATCTCATTAAGCAAAAACTGTTTTATTCCTTATGGAATTGGTTAATGACATCCATATAATCGTTCTCTACATAATAGTAAGACATTGCAACCCCCTGCTCTCCCTCCACAACTCGGCGGTCCCACACTGACTTATGTGCAATAAAAAAGGGACAAATTTGATCACACTCACTCAATAAAACTAGGAGATATTACGGACATTTATAAGCGTTTGCAGTTTGATAAATGCTTTTCAAGACATGAAGCTGTTATTACGCACTGATAAGTATTTTCTGAAAAAATTACAATAACCTTGACCTTGGCTTCTTTAAATACAATTTTGTTCTTCTCGTCCTTGATCAATCTATAAAATTAACCAAACCCGCTTATAAAAGAAGACCGAAGAGTGATGGCAAATGATAACATCCGTATCTTGTCCCTACATCGTCAAAAAGGGATATTAAGTATACTGTTATGTGCATGTATACTGTAAATTCTGGAACCCACATATTGATTTTCCAAACCTTCCTTAACCAAATGTGTCGTCCCTTTAATAATGAATATGTCAATATAAGAAGCCCTCACCATTTTATGTTTATCCTAAGCAAGCATTTTAATTGTTATTGAAATGATAAAGATTTAGCGAAACTCCATATATACTTTAAATGTAAATTTGTCATCAAATTGTTATTGAAGTTAAATGGATAGTACAAAATACCAGCATGAAAACTGATTTCCTTGAAGACAGCCAGGACATAAGGCCTCGACAGGCCAATATTTAGCATGTCTTAAAAGAAATAAATTTCTTACGGGGACAATCCTTCATTCGAGCGACAAAAAAATTAACTAGCAATGCTTTTTTCTCACTTTTCTTTTTCAAATTATAACCTAACAGAGCATCACCTTAATACGAATGTGGCTATGTTTTTCTGTCTTAGCTTTCTACGGTTTTGCCAGTGTAAATTCAGCTCTTCTGTTATTCACAGTCTTTTCACTTTTTTCCCTTCCGTTACAGATTTTAGTATAAATGTATAGTTTTACCACTTTACTTGATTCTAATGGTAAAAAGCCAATATTGACCTCATTTCAGCAGAAATGTCAACTGCGTTATATCAACTTTTTAATGACTCTAATTGCGGTATTTCAAGAACCCGCTAACTTAGTAAAGAGAATACATTGAAGTAACTTTGACTTTCCGTTTTATACTAGATTTTTGTCATGAATTTACTGGATAAGTTCATTTTCCAAGTAGAATTTGACACTTATCACACACCAATTTTGATTTTTTTTTTAGTCGTCTCCTAGACTACTTTAGCTTCGATCATCGATCACTGACGATTCTTAAAAGGACGAAACAGCTGTCTGATGCAGTTGAGTTCATTCGTTGATTCTACTTTATTCAATTTCAAAATTGTATGGTGTTATTCATTTGTTATGTACAATCCTTTATACCACAGTCTCTTAAATTCTACATTTGATTCGATTTCCTTGGTCTTCGATCGAAGGTAAATGGTGATACTTGGCCAGTTTTGATTATTTGTCAAGCTGGATTGTTTTTCTTCAATACATGTTGCATGTTCATGTGCAGTCATGCCATTAGTCGGTGAATTCCTAATTTTAATTTCCAAAGAGAAAATAGTGTCGAACTTAATGAATAACAGAGTAATGTCAAAAATTCGTAAAACAGTTTAAAGGGTCTCTTATAAAATTAAAAATGCCAACGATCTTGCGCATCCATTCAAAACAACTGCCGGATACCATTTTCATAATTAAATTAGACACTCAGAATGTGAGATGCACCACTAGAACCTTTTCTTAACTAGTTCATAAAGTTCCATTTTGCAGTTCTGCAAAGATGGTTGTTGCAAACTTTAAATGTCAAAAACGGCTGCCTGCAGTCATTCGTACGTAACAAGGATCAATACTGAAATTATTTACGTTTGGGAATATTCTTTCGGTAGTTCATTAGAAATACAAGGCAGCGATTGACGACTCTAAATAAACGTATTCACTATGTTTCAAGAGCATTCTTCATTAGTTGCTTTGAAATATTGGTATTCACTTCAATTTCAAAATGACCACTGGCTGGAAGCTTGATTCTTGATCTGAAATTTGGCAAACAGAACAAAAAACATATTGATCTTACACAATGGAGCCCATCCTGAATGCACAACAAGAACCCACACATGATATGTTCATAAAATTTCCATAGCGAATTAAAACCTATAAACAATCTAGGAGGGGCTTACTCACCGTCTCTATCTGTCGCTTCCATCTCCATCTCGTACGAATTTTTGCTTTTCAAATGAGTTCTTGATTGATTTTGTATGCCTCCATTTGCTAATTCGGCCAACTGACCCTCCACGTCAGTTTCCATGTCCACCGAGGTATCCAGTCTCCGCTGTAGTACGAAAACACTGTACTTTGAGCATAATCGTATGCATGGTCTAAAGCCATGAAAACCGGTGTCATATCAAAAATTACACTATATCTTTTAAGCATCAAGCTGATCTAAAGAAAAGAACTTTGGTATCAATTTAGTGCCTATATTTTTATAAGAGTATCGATATATATTTGAAGATCATATGGAAAATTTATTTTTTTCTGTGACATCTTTTTCTGATTTGTGTGTACCGCAACGAGTAAAACAAGAAAAATATAAGATCTTGATAAACTCAGCCTAAAAGAAATAATATAAATTAGCGTTCCATTTGGAAAGCTTCAAATTTGTCAATTTATTAGCTTATATTCTGAAGATCAAGTTACGAGTAAGATAGTATGCACTTTAAACTATTAAATCAACCTACCATTGAAAAAAAGATATATATTGTTGCATTTCTTAAGCACGTGTTAAGCATGAGAAAAAATTATATAAGATGGTTGTGTTGTGTTAAAGTAGAAATTTACGGTGACGACTATAAGTCAGATTTTATCTTCATATAAGTACAAAGTTAGCCAGTTAGGAAAACGTATCGCGTATTCAGCATGAGGGAGGTGCAAAAACAAATATATATATATATATGCACGACATCCTGCGATGTACTTACAAACTGACATTGCGTGAAGACCAGGGCAAATGTAAATATATTCTTGTTATGTTAAAAATAATATATGAGCTTGCGGTAACGTGTCTAATGTACATATCATTATATCAAAGACACAAATTTACATTTAAACTTTCTTTCCTTTCGATGTCCTCACTGTGTTTTGGAATTCCTTCCGTAATTTGAGCAGACTCACTTGGCATAAGCGACTCCTTTCTTGTTGACGAAGAAAGCTGCCAATAGAGACAAGTTAACAATCACAGTTTTCAAGTCTTTCGACGGGAGTACAACCCATATTATTTATTAAATATATTTGAATGAGTTGGGAAATTATGACGTTGCATAGCGGACAGAATTATATGTAAAATCCAAGAACTGTGAAAGGATCGTTTCTAATCTATCTCACCTTTACTATTAATGAACAATCAATCGTTTTGACTTCTGCATACTCACACGAGCCTCATATTCTTGAACATGTTTTTCCAGTTGATCAGCTGGAATTTCAATATCGCATCTTTCACAACTGACAAACTGACGTTTGCCATGAATCTTTTCACATTTGCTTCTTTTGCGTACTAGAATGCGCAATGTATCCTTAGCATGTTTCAAACACAATCTATGGCAGCAGTCTCGACACGCAACAATCGCCTTAAAAGACATATTCTAGTAGTTAACTTCAGAGAAAAATCCTTGATAATCAACATTGTTTTTATCAGTAGTATTAGGACATTGGTTTTTCAAATACATGTAACTATAAAAATGTCTAATGAAGCTAGAAAACAATTAGTAAGATCTTGTACTATGTCTTCATATTTTATTTGTGTGTGAGAGGTACAATCTAATTGCTAGTATGTATATGCCTTTTTATACAATCCATCAACGAACACTTTTTAATTTTTAAACGGAATAGAAATGTAGGTATTTTACCGCCAATCAATAACACAATAATTATAGTCTATGATACGCAAAATTACTGACTGTTATTACTCCAAAAATGATGACACTGGTATCAACCAATTCGATTGTAAGTTTCCTAATATTATTTTAATTGATATGTTTGAAATGAAGCAGAACCAACTTTGTTAATTAGACTGTTATATGATACATTTTAGGGATAAGAAATCGCATACTATTCACCGAAATGATTCAACTATCACGAGAGTAATTGAATGTGTCGGATTTGATCATTCAAAAATCAACTTTATATTTTACATATCAGATAAAGACCTTTTCACAGCATCCTCCCTTCGAGCACATCCATCCATTGCTACCAGTGAGGTATTTGATCTGCATAACCTAAAACCAAAAAGCTTAAAATTGCGCTAAATAAATTTCCATTAGTGCCCAAAATTCTCAAAATACGTCATAGAATAATGTCATAATTCATATAATATGTACTGATAGGGACACACGGTAAAAACATTCTTTGGACAATCATTATTTTTGTTTAATGGAATGAACAGAAAACGTAACTGGGTAAACAACATTTATGTAAATTCATTTTCTTGATGAATACTGCAATGTAGAAGTAGAATTAGTGAATGACTACTAAATGAAGAGATATCATTTAAGTCAGCAGCAACGAAAACCCATCTATTGCGCTTTTACCATTGAAAAAGGGGAAAAAAAATTTGATCCAAGATATAACAAAAGTCAGAGCGGAGACTGTCACTTACCGCTTTTTTGAGAAAGTGCAACGAGAAAATGTGTACTTTTTGCTTATAAACACTCTCAAAAGTGCAGTAATCTTGTAGAGACCCAGTTTCTCCAGTTTTAAACGAGAACATTTTTTCAGTCATATCTTCTATGCAGCTTACACATAGCTCTTTATGGCATGGTAGCTCTAAGTAACGCTAAAACGACACAAACATGGCTTTCTATAACAGTGTGTGAAAGTAAATACGAACGTAGTGATAGACAAAACATCGAACAGTTAATGAAAACTGGACATCATTACCTGCAAGTGTTACAGATTACTAAGTTAATAATATTTTGTCTGCTATAGCTACAGTTACACGTACCTTATATCCATGTGTTCGACATTTCGATGGATTTTCGACCAGCTTCGCTGGTATGTCTTCGCCGCCAGAGATATACTAGAAAATTTAAATGCGAAACATTAGGTAAGTTCGTAAATAAGGGAGGGTTGATGGTCTAAAGAAGGTCATAAAGTCAATGGGTCTTAACGATTGCTTGAGTTGATTGTCTACGACGGACGACAACGGGAAAAGGCGATCGCGATATATAGGCATTCATAGTCCAAGATATGCAAATGATAATCTTTATTCTTCAAATAATCTTTAACAATGGTCCTTAAAAGACAGAGAATTGCGTTTTCTGGAAAAAAATCTATTTAATTCAGTGTCAGTTACTTTTAAGAAATGGATTTACCTCTCCAAATGTTGATTGTTGTTAGATATAGCTAAACTCTTTACTGATGTATGCTTTTTAATCGAAATTTCACTCTGTTTCTTCAATCTGGGCTCTGCTCCTACTTACCCTAGGGCCAAAGTAACATAAATGAAATAAATGATTCCATGTAAATTTTGATCGCAGTCTTATCAGCGGTTTAGAATGGGGGCTTTTTTTCTAATATCAGAATTAATCATTAGTTACGAAATGAATGTCCACCCTCGCGATGTTTCACATAGAATTTGAATCCGCTCAGACGTTCAGGAGAAGTCGCGTTTCAAACGAAAATCTTATGAACGGCTTATGAAGCATGACGGAGGACAAAACAAGGTACGTCGCCAAGTCGATATCTAAAATGCATCCCTAGTGGCAACACGTAAGGATGTAGACCGTTACCATCAATGCTTATCTGTTTTCTACTTTTCAACATGCATTTCACTACTATGTCAACTTCATCCGTCAACAGTCACTTGTATCGCATTACAAAAGAAAGGTGGTTTCCGAAATCCAACCACCTTCAGGTTATCAATTTCTTTTCTTTAAACTGAGTGCACTGAATTATACCTGAATGTGCTATTCATTTTCCATTTGTGAAATGTAAAATGTCCACAGATCCCGTTATTCACCTTTTTGCCGTAATTATACCCCTTTTCTACATTTGTAACATATTTTACTCTCAGATTTATTGAAGACATTTGGTCATTTTCCACATCAATAACTATGATTTTAGAATGATAATTTTACTCTGTGATCACCTTGGGTGAAAAAGAATTAAGTACTTTTCAAAATTTAGTCTTGAAGATTAAGTCATCAAACCATCATGTCAACCTTTGTCCACCATTTAAAACCATTTCAAAAATAGGTTTTATGTATCCTCTGTACACACAAGTAATTTAAGAAAAATGAAGGTAGGGAAAATAGTTTTCTAGCACTATGAACATAGGCAGTATGTTGTTACAAAAATGAAATTAAACAAACTTAAATTCATTTTAATGAACTATAGACCTTTAGAATCTACATTAACTGGAAAAGAATGATGTTTTATGTGAATGAAACATATTACACATATAATGATTGGTAGATGTAATTGGGTATTAATTAATGTTATCTATAATACGGTTAAAAAGCCAATAATGCAACAGATTTGGAAGTATTCACATAAAAGGTTCTCTATTTAAGGAACATCACGGTTTTAAAAAATGCAATTGGTTGTGCGTGTGTTATACACTGCTAGCTACGTTTCTATGGTATCACGATATTCACAGCCGATTTACATGTCCAGCTTGACCCAAGTTTTGGTTAAGGAAACCCCTCTCAAATTTAGCGTTGATAATGCCACGCGATAGTTTTGAAAACGAGGCAGATTAGTTTGTAATCACGAACATATAATAGCGGACAGAAATGACAGTGAAAGTAGCGACACAGTGAGTAAAATCTAGTTTTTTCAGCACCGGATTGTGTGGCAAATGTTATTTAAAACCTCTAAGGCCGTTCAGAATTTTGTTTACAGGAAACGGTTTTACGGGCGCATGCGTTATCATATATTTCACAAAAAATACATATCTAGACTGTTGATCGACATATAAGGATTTCCTTTTTTATGATTATTAATTAACATCTTAATGTGCAAATTTCAGCGAAAACCAGCTGTTATTGTTAATAAGGTAATGAACTTGACATATGCAATAATAAAAAATAAATTCCACAATGTCGTTTTAATGTAAATAATAATATATTATGTTGTATTTATGTGTGGCTACCTATATTGTGTAATACATTTTCATCAGCATCTATGTAACTTCATGGTTTAACGACATAAACGGTCCTCTAACAACGTAAAGGCATACCTACTTGGAGGATTAATTTGTTATCATGCTCCCCGATAATTTTCTGGGGAATGTACAGTTTGTCCGTTGTCGACACGTCCGTTTGTCTCTCCGTCCGCCCTTTCGTTTCCACAGCAAAATTTTAAAGGGGTCATAAAACTTGGTTTATATAATGGTCAAACATGCTGTGTACCAATGTTAAAGCCCTCGACCATCTCAATACAAATTTAAGCCCTTTGTTAAAATTTTGTTTCTGGAGCATAATTTTGTTTGTATTTCAACTAAGGTAATGGAACTGTGTGTATACATTGTCAGACTAAGACTTTGTGTACAAAGTTAGGGTGCGCAACACTTGATTACACAATCATTTCCCATTGTTAAAATTTTGTTTCCAATAAAGTTGTTTTCATGGAGCATTCAATAGTTTCACGGACACTGTTGATTTTATTCCCTTCTAGCCGCATGCAAAGACATTACAACTGTTCTATACTTAAAGCTATACAAGACATATTTTGGTGGATGATATAGCATAAAGGATAGTATTGAAAACATGCAAAGTTTGAAAGAAATTCGGGTGTGTATGGTTTCTATGAGAAATTTAACATTAACTGGAACCTCACCTTTGATTTAGATACAGCATAGCCATAATCAACAAAGACAATACCAATATGTCGACCTAAGCATAATTTCTAACTCAAATTCAATCAAACAAAAGCGAAATATGAAAAATAAGATTTGATGTACACGAAGATTCCTGAAAACGTAAAAGGAATATTAGGCCAGGTGTTCAGGAATAGTAAAAGTCTTTTACTTCATTGGCAACACCCGTCATGGTCACGGCACTACAACGTTGGGACGCTACAATCCAAGTGTCTCATCATATAGATCATGTAGATTTAACTTTCATTAGTACGCAAGATGTAATTCAAACTTGGTTTTTACCGGGGCCCATGTACGCTGTCATACAAGTGTATATTGGTGTATGTGTGTGTGGAGGGTGGGGGAGAGGCATAAAATGATGCAATCCATATTACTTTTAAGTCATAAATACGATTACTTGCTAATAATTTCAAATTGTTCATAATTTGATAACATACCTTCCTTTGTGTTATTTCTTGAATCCCAGTTCTAGAAATGTCGATTTGTTTTCCTTTATGTCCGCGTTCAAAACAGATGCCGCAAAACTTGCATTGGGTACACGATAAATGGCCACATGTCAGCTCAACACACTAAAGGGACAAAAGCCATGATATTTATGTAAGACTGTATTCAGAATAGAAATAAAGGACTTCATTTTCAATATTTCGTTTCGTTTCGTTTTACTGTGTGTTTCCTTGATCTCGTCTAAACATCAAATATATCTTAATTGCATTAGTGAAATCATTTGAAGATAATTTGTGAGTCATTTTAAAGTACATATTA